GATTGATAAAAATGATATATTGTATAATGATTATAAAAGTAATAAATTGTTATTTTGATGTCAAAAATATGTGACATTTAAAAAAAAAGATTCTATTATTTTCTTCTTGTTGTACTTGTATTCCTTTTATATACTCTGTCAATATATTACAATATATTACTTTGTCACTCTGTTGCTATATTCTATCTACTTTATTTGCCACAATTACAATAATGTTATTAATGATTTTATGATTTTTTAATTATTTTTTTAACCTATTTATTATTTTTTTGTAGATAAGTGAAATTATATAATAGGAAAAATATACGTATAAATATATTTTATATACAATTATATGTATATATATATGTATATATGTTCTCATTTATATATAAACAATTAATTTTTTGCTGGAAAAGTAATAAGTTAAAACATTAAATTATTATTTTTTTAAAGCTGGAAACAATATTAATTAATTATTACATAAAATTGATCTAATTTGCATCGCCTTTTAAAAGAGCTATCCATGTGTTTATTCAGCAAACTTGCATAACTGCATAACCATATATATATATAAAGAACCATATAAAAAAATTACGCAATCGTATTTTTATTATAAAGACGCGCATAAGATAATTGAATAATTTTCTTTATGCGTATGATTATGCAACTTGAGATCTCATAAGAAGGGAGGGTGTGCGTCACAGCGGGGCCCGACCACGAATCAGTCGTGAAAACTCGTAATTATTTTGCGAAAAAATACCACCTCAGCTAGGAATCGAACCTGGATCTCCTGCTTACCGGGCAGGCATCTTATCCCTTCGACTACCAAGGCATGTGATGATATTTATCGCAAATAACATGTTTAGAATAACACGTCAACAATACAATGATACACATATATACGTATATTATATTACATATACATATATACATGTATTTTCTCGAATCCCCACGACCGGTACTTCAGAGAGATGATGGTCCTATTCTCTCGATGCAAATTTGACTGGATGGGCCCTAACAGGTCGGAAAAATAGTTATCTTTGATAAATGTTTATAATTAATAATTTACTGTAATTAATAGGTATAATACTGTAATTAATAATTTACTGTAAATATATATTTATCTTGGTATGACTTAAAAATTTACGTTTTATATTAAAGAAATATTATTAAAGAAAAATTATTTAAAGTCTTAAAATAATTTTTGGCTGAGATATAATACAATAAAAAAATACATTGTTATAAAATCCGGTTGACATGATAACTTCATTTCTAAGCATATAAAATAAATGATTTTAGTATAATAAATAAATAAATGTGTGAGTCATATATGTATAAATAGGATCTTTTAAAACCAGATTTCATTTGAAAAGCAGATTTTTTGGAATATAAGAAAATCTTAATAAAAATGATTATAACAATTTTTAAATTATTTATGATTAAAGTTTATAAATCATAGATCTGTAATTTTTCGGCAATATAAAATAGAAGTTCTTTAATAACTTCGAATAATATTGAAATACAATTTCTTCAAC